AAGAAATACTAAAGCCAAACATTACTATATTCACAAAAAAAAGTCTAAAATTGAACTCATTTCCTTAAACTTAAGAAATGTTTTATATTTTTACAAAAGATGTTATGCCCTGGAAACTACATAATAATATTTTAATGAAAATATTTGTTTCTGAACTATAGACAAAGTTATTTTAACAACTGTGTATTTTTCTTTTTTTTTTCCAAATATAAATACTTGTATACTTCAAACAAAAACATACATAAATATTTTGAAAGAAAAAATGCTTCATCATATCTGAACAGAGTTGCTTTTTTTTATTTTTTGTTTTATCATATATCTTATTTTATTTCTTGATACCCTCTCCTCATCAATGGCTTTATCTTCGCTATACGAACTTTTTTCGATTCCATCATCTCCTTGTTTTCAAAATAAAATTTAGTACACAGTAGTATTTGTTCCTCCGGTACCTAAAGACTTCTTTCTTAGTGATAAGAACTATTGCGATTTTAAAGTGTGGCGATTGTGGGACAGCCTATAATCGCTATAGCATCCTATATACATATGAACTGGTCTCTTTACGTAGAAAAATATACAATCTTATGAAATAATTTTAATATAGTGCGTTTCAAAAATATGGTGCTATTTTTGTTTTTACTTAAATTTAGAAGAAATCATCAATCTGTAAACTATTTCGCAAAAACTGTGAGCTCTGTGGTTTTCGAAATCTACATATCGTCACTCAACTACTTAACTATCTCTAATTAGTTTCAAGATTCGAATATAGTCTGAGCCCTTCGCAGTAAATTCATTAATCGGGCCATTGCTTCGTTATCTATGGGAGAAAAACTGCAAAGTTCAGCTAATAAATATTGAAGAGCAATTTGGAAGTCAAATATATCAGAGCTGGGAAATCGCCGCCAACTTCATCGAACACACAAAATGCATTCGACGGTGCGTGCTTTTTATTGGCACCACATACTCGTATCTGCGGCCGCACCGACTAAGCCGCAGTAATAAATAGTCGCAATTGGCATGCAGCATGCAGCATATGGGGAAGAGGTCTCCGACACAAACGCAGACACTGCCCCCTTTGGTGTGGTGGCAACAAAGTTACGTCTGCGCATTGCATTTTCCTCGAGGCAGACAATCGCAGCCGGTTTCTCCGATGCGTTTGCGTCCATTCATGGCCGCTGAGCTCCTTAAGCCAACTACCGTTTGGTCTTTTGTTTGACTTTGTCTTGTGGCCGTCAGCTCAGAGTCTATTTGTAGATACAACCAAACAACCAAACAAACATCCAGCCTGAAAGAACGAGCGAGGAAACGACAGCCTCAGCTCCTCAACTCTGTCGACCACTTGAGTTGCAACCAGAAATTTCTATGCTCTCTGCGAATAGATTGCGCACACTTAGAGAAAAAAGAACTCCTAACCGCGAAGCAATGGTTCATAGAAATAACTAAGTCAGAAACTTTGACACCCCATACGAAATGTTGTATTAAATGTGAATTAATTATTAAAACTTATAATAAATTATTAAAGTTGTGCAAGTGATTTAAATTAGGATTTGAAAAATTAGAACCGTTGTACGTCGGATCAGTTCTAGTTTCTGGGTCAAATTTATAATTACAAAAGGCATGGATATATATTATCAACATATTGTAGAATTTACTAAAGACATTTTTAGAAAATTTCTGCATTATTTTTTATATGAAATATACCTGATCTAATCAGTCGAATTATGGGAACTAACTACGTTTTTCTGTTAAAAAATTAGCCATCATTACTCTTTTTACAAGAAAAAATCGGAATATGTTGGATATAAATTCTCATACCAAACGAAATAATTTTATAAGCAATAGATTCTAGTTGGAACCAATATTCATATCATATAACAAAACAAAAACTTAAATATTATCAAATAGATTTTGAACATAATGTTCGAATTTTATAGTGATTCGATTCGACTACAACTGCAGCTGACCATAACGTGGGATCTTTATAGGTAACTTTCTAAACTTTTCTTTCTAAAATATGACCATAAGCTTCAATCTTAATTCTCCCTCATTTTCTTCGAGTGTAGGTAGGCACATATGTGTGCTTAGGCTTTCTACCTGTCCGTTCTGAGCACTTCGCACCACACGTTCGCCGCGCTATCTGAAGTGTTTTTTAAAAGTTTTCCAACGATAAGCAATGTTACTTTATGACCGAGGAAGGCACTCCAATTCTGTGCCGCTGCAAGTGCTGCGAGATGTGGCAAGAGCGGGTGGCGGCGGCGGACGTGGGTCGATACTGTTCGATTGCTTTGCATGAGCAGGTTGGCAAACTATGAGTACGGCTTGCACATCATTACAAGTATGTATATGGCTTGAGGTTCGCTATGAGATACCTGTGGTTGGCGGTGGTTGACGGTGGTTGACGGCGGTGCGAGTCTGATGATTATGATTCATGACTTTTCACTTTTGCCCGCACACGCACGTGAGCAAGTGGAAGAAGATGCAACCACAAGATTCCAGATTCCAGACACAATGGATACAAATTGGTAAATGCAGTGTAGAATTAAATTCACATAACCACTATAATAAAGAGGTGGTATTTTTCAAAATGGTGAACTTACATTCATAAAATTGTAATACTCTTTTCTTCTGTTTTGAAATACACAAAAGGGTTCTCTCGGCGACTCGAAAACCCGAACCGTTGTTACTTCTACATAATGGCTGCTATGCTTTCGTTTTTGTTTTTTCAAATTTAAATTAAGCTATTTACATTATAGGAGGGACATTATCTGAGGATATAGTATGTAATTGGGATATTTTTATATATGTATGTATGTACATACCCATACATGTTTGCAGCTAGCTGGAGCGCAAATAAAACTTCGCCAACGATCAGGAAGGATTCTTCCATTTTTACGTTTTAAAAGATCACTTTTATAATGTTTAAAATGCACACTTTATAAAAATATTCCAATATCTCTGTTTCTCATTGTTTGCCTCCAATTTTTGCTTATTTTCGATGACTTCTGTGAAAACAGCTGAGCGGCTTGAAGCTATCGGCAAATGACTTAACAAATTAATTGATATCGATAAGAATTCGCGTGATTTATGGTAACACTAATGGAAGTTGCGGTCCAGCACATGTACGTGTATCTTATCGAGATGAATTTCCAATCGGATAAATTAAACCAATTGGCTGGCATTTGCAGTTTCAGGGTTTGATTTATCGTAGATCATTGCTAAATATTATTCCTTGTTCCATTTCTTCATTTTTTTCTTTTACAATATTTGATACTATTGTCGAAGCAATATTGATGTGATACGAATTATATTCTAAATCAGCAATTGACATTCAAGCTGAAACCTCAATTTCACAAATTCTTATTGTATTTGAGTACTTGAGTTGCATTTAGATTGAGATAAAAGCCGCGGACTGCATTCTATTTGATCATAAATATATTTTATACATAAATATAATAATTATAATTAGAATTGTACTCTGAAATTCTTGGTTGAAAATTGAATATGGACAACTATAACGAAATAATGAAATGGTGGAGCACATTTGGTGATATGTTCTTTTCCCAAAAATATAAATTTAACCCCACAGTGCAACAACGATGGCAACCAAACGACAACCAACAACGACCCTTAACCCTTTGCATAAATTTTCATCAGTTTTGTGGCATGTCGGGTAAATTACTGTGACATTGCACTTTGCCGCATCAGCTGGCAATTTGTTGAAATTTGCATTCTGTGCCGTTTTTCGTGTAAATTATTGATTAGTTTTAAATTAAAAACGAAGTCATCGACTGGCATAAATCTTCGTAATTTTCTTATTAGAAACTGTCAATGTCAGCGAATTTCACCCGAGACGGGCCGAGCCGGGCCTAGTCTGTCCATATGCTAACTGAATGAGAGATAAACGTACATATATACCTATTTGTATATGGATACATATGTATATATTTTTTGATGATTTATGACCCTGGTCGTAGTTTGACTGTTCGTCGATTTACGAAACATCTGTGTTTGTGCGTGTGTCTGTGAAATGGGCAACTTGGCAGTCAACGGCTTTCACTCTATCTCTTTCGGTTTGTTTATTTTGGCCAACTTCAGCTCCAGCTCAAGCTCCAGCTGAAGCTCCGACCGAGTTGGACTTTACGGCCGCTTTTGTATTGGTTTTGATGTGTTTGGGGGTCAGCCGCCGCCTTGCGGGCTACCTTTCTAATACGAGTGCCCACTGAAAGGAGTCCGCGCCGATCGTTGAGAGTGGGTCATTAAAGAGTGTACACTCGTCTATAGTATGTGCATGGTGCATATTGCATGGTAATGAAGGATTGTAAATGAGTTTAATGTCTTCACGCATTGATGGATTGCTTTTTTTCACCAGGCGGAGGCGCTGCAATTGACCCGCGGACGAACACTGGCGGATCAGTCATGACGATGTGAGTAAATACACTTACAATAAAAAGCAGGTCGGTCGGGTTTACATAGAAGTCAAGATTTTAGGAGTGGCAATAAAATGCGAAAAATATCAATAATCAGTAACGAGCTGCCAATTTATTGGCATTGCTTTGGCTTTTCATCACATAAATAGACTATCTATCGTAAAATACGTAACCGGAAGAAAGAGTTGCGATCATTTCTAATTGTAGATTTCCTTTACAAATTATTATGGTTATTTCTTTTTCTACAGATTTAAAGAGAGAGATTCGTAGTATCATGTTTACATTTTCGAAATATTTATAGTTCTCTTTTAGGGCTGTAGAAGAAAGAGTTGCGATCATTTCTAATTGTAGATTTCCTTTACAAACTATTATGGTTATTTCTTTTTCTACAGATTTAAAGAGAGAGATTCGTAGTATCATGTTTACATATTCGAAATATTTATAGTTTATAGCTTTTAAGGCTAATCCTCGCTAATACTATTTCGTTCGTGAATCGCTGTCATGTTGCTATTTATATTCATAAAAGATCGGGTAGATACGTAAATCTATAAATGTAAAAAATAATGCTGTACTCACCACTTTCCGCGGCACTCAAGCACTTTGCTGCCATTTCTTCGCTAATTTCCTCTGCAGGATTACCGCCTCCCGTGTCCAAAACAGTACAGACCGCACCCCAATCCAATGCGCTGACGCCATCGCTCGACATTAGGGATAAGTCCATGGGCGGTACGGATGTGCCACGAAGGGTGCTGGTGGCACTGATGCCCCCACCAGCGCTTCCAACACTGCCCCCACCCAAAGAGCCGTTCGTCATGAACTTAAGATCGAGCGAGGAGTTCATGGAACCGCCGTAGATGGAGCTGGACTGCGATTGACATGTGGAGTCGAAGCTGCGGTTGCTTATGCGGCGCTTTTCGGGCGTGGCATATAACGGTTCCGGCTTCTTGCTCGGCTGCACATCGCTATAGACTTGCGGTCCGGCCGAAACTTCGCTGCCGATGGAGCTGTTCAAAGTGCCGTAGCAGGAGGTCATCATGATGTCGTTGCGATTGAAGCTGGGCTGCCAGCACTCATCCACGTTGCCGGAATCTTCGAGTTCGCTGGTTGGGTTGCAGGCGGCCAGCTCGTCTAAGTAGCATGGATCGTAGAGCCGTGACTCATCTATTGTGGCTATATTATCCTCCATTTCCTGCTGCAGTTCGTCCTCATCTTCGTCATCATCCTCGTCCCCACCACCACCATACTTGTGGGTTCGCTCAGCGCTCAGTTTCTGGAAGGTTTCGTCGGCCTGTTGCATTAGATCGTAGGCGCGTGGCACGGAGGAGGAATGCAAGGAGTCAGAATCATTTTCCTCAATGCAGGACAGGTGGCGGGTCCTAAAGCCATAGATTATACCGCTGGCCATGACACTCAACGGTGGTGGCGGCGGCGGTGGTTCCTGCGGCAACGCTGGCATTTGCAACTCCTGCATGGATGCCGCATAGCAATCAAGCTCGTAGCTAGTAGTCTTGGCTTGCAACATGGCTATACCTGTGAAGGGAAGATGTTTAGGAAAAGCAATTAATGAAAATATTTATATTTGTTTTATTATTATTTTCAAATTTCAATTCCTTTACAGAAGTACTTATATTGGAAATGCTGATTGTTTTTTCTAAGTTATAAGCATAATAAGTAATACCAAATTCAAATCGAAACATAAGCCACAAGACAGACAAGCAAATAATTTGCACACAAATTTATGTTTTTTTTTCCAAGATGGCTTTTCAAAGCGATTTCCGCAGAAGTTTATTGAAGCAAAAAAAAAACCGTAGAATTCCTGATACTTTTAATTTAAGAAGCATACATTAATATAAGACATATTTGAACATTTTATAAAAATTTCAAGATTCCAATTAGAAGCTAGTCTTATTTAACTTAATACTGTTAACTTACTATTTATTTATTTATAAAATAATAATAATTATAATAAAATAATATATAAAAATTATAAAAAACATCTAATCAAATTACAATAATATCTAAACAATTATGCATAGTATTAAGATTAAAAAAAGCTTCTACTTTCGCGGATGGAAGATTCGACAGCATTTTTGTACTTTCTAACTCATACAATGGACCTTAAATGGTTCCTTACAAAATAAAAAAATACACAATCGGTGTGTTAATAAAATTATGTAAACCACTAAAATGTCTTAGTCAGAAGAAGCATGCTACTTATAAATTTTGAAACATATAAATACAATCATTAATCCTATTTTGATTGAGAAAGTTAAGAGTAAAAAAAATGTAATTTAAAAAACTATTCAAAATCTAGTCAACACTTCACAAATAAAACAAAATAACTGTGATTTGAAATGTTATATTCTACTTGTAGATTTTGATTGAGAAAGTTAAGAGAAAAAAAATTTTTTGTAATTTAAAAAACTATTCAAAATCTAGTCATCACTTCACAATTAAAACAAAATAACTGTGATTTGAAATGTTATACAAGTATTCTACTTCCATATATTCAGCTCAAGTTCCGAATATTATTTCAAAAAGACTTCCATTCAATCAAGGTAATGAATCAAGATAGCTATGATAGTTTTTTAAAAATTAGATAATATTTTTCCCTACCTAGCTTAAATTTATGGCCTAAAATTATTTTCATTCAAACATGTTATTTATGCAAAACTAGATAGATTATTTATTTGAGTCAATGCTGCTTCTTATTATATACTATATTTTATATAAATTAATCACATTATTACTGACACCTTTATATATTTTATTGCCATGTCTGATTCTCCTTTGAACAAACAGCTTCTCCGAATTGATTATGCGATCCAAGCATAACATAAGGTTTCTGTTCTGAGATTATCCAAAGCCTATAGACAATTTTTTTGTAATCCTCTCTATATACCTGACTTAGAGACTTCAATAAAAATGTCAAACTTATTAACAAAATTTGACTTTTCTCTCCAATTGCACGAACTACACTTAAGTGGCTAATGACTAGAATTAGTAATGTCAATGCACCCTTAACTACATTATCTTTAACTATAATATTGTTTTTATTACCATTGGCACATCAAACATAATTTGGCATCATTTCAACGGCGGCTTGACTTTAAAAATCCCACCAAATGGCCCGTGAAATCAAAAGGCCATAAAGTATATCTCAATGATATACACATTTCCTCATGTGTGTGTATATATTTGGGCATGACAAATGGGCCCAGCGGAAATGAGTGGAGCTCAGGAACACAAAACTGGCAATCAAACATGCGCCCGATAGCTGCCGAGGAACTTGTGTTTGTATCTCTTAGGTGTGAGCTTGTAAATGATAAGCCAGCCCGAAGACGGCCAAGTACCAAGCGTACAGCTTTAATGCCACTTAATGCTCGGCCCACAACAATAACAACGAGAGCAATGTGAAATTCTTCAACGTACATCTTCAAGTTCACACATGATGCTCGCCCAGCTACAAGAACCGAAAGATACAATTGCAGCCACACAGCAGATAGACAGACATGCGCACACGTTGCAGACGGAAGTGGCCCCCAAACTCAAACTTCGAAGAGCCAAACGATAGACGCACACGCAACTTCCCCCATTTACGATTTTGCCCGGGAAAAAAAAAATATCTCCGAAACCCCCTGCAACGATCGCTGGCATCGGGTCTGTGGGCAGATGCGCATTTGTGTCAGTCACCGCCGTCGTCAGCTTCAGCCTCAGCTTCGGCGTCAGCGTCGACGGTGCAAGGAACCCGTAATAGTAGTTCTGCCTCTGCCACCACCTCTGCAGCGCGCCCCTTTCCGCTACATTTTCACTGTCAACATGCAATGTCGTCGCACTCTTGACGCCGACGCTGATATCGAGCTGCAGTGCAACACTCAAAAAAATCAGATTCCATAACTTCATTCCATTTTTTCTCACATAAACTTATTCTAAATAATTGTAACGCTATGATCTCCAAATGCTAGGTACTAGGAGAACGACTAAAAATTTTTTATGCCAGATTTTTATATATATAAATGACTCTCCTAAAACAAATTTTTATAAAACTAAAACAACTGGTACACAAACTAATGTGAATTCATTAGATATTTCAAACTAAGCCCACAAAAGGAAAATTAAAAAAAATTATTTAAAAAAGTTAATTAATTTCATTAATTTAATAAATTTAATATTTTGAATATTTATTCAACACATGCATATAATAAATTGTACACCCGCACAAAACTAATATGCCCTTTGGGTACAGGGTATAAAAAGGAATTCCCTGCAAAGTTCTACGGAGTAGCCATGATCTGAATAATTAATAATTATAAATCAAAGTTATTTTTTAATCGGCTTCAAAAACGGAGGAGGTTATCAATGCGTCTATATTTTTTTAAAATTTTTTATCTTTAATATTTTCTGTGCAAACATTTTGTAAAAAAATTTAAAATACTTTTTACCAAAGTTTGAAGAAATATTTCGATTCCAGAGATCTCTTTTTAAAATCCTAAGTGATTTGCACATAAAGGCAATCTATACAATACAACCATACAAGATGTATTAAATGTCAATCTGGAAACGCCCAGTAGCAGTTAAGTTATTCTTATTTGTTCTCTATAAAATAGTCTCTCATATATTCGTATCTTCAACAAAAACAGGTCCTTTTTCCTTATTTCTCTCTGTATGAAACTTGACATACCATACCATTAATTCCCAACATATTTCTGGACAGATTATACATATATATATGTATGTATGTCACATAAAGAAACAGCTTATAATAATCGATACGTTCTCCTTAAAAAGTAATTTTTATGCTACCATATAATTTAATAATTGTCTTCCTTAGGACTGAACTTAAATAAAGAATAAAGATTAAAAAAAAAAATTATAGGCGGATGCCTTTTTTTTTAATTTGAGCTAACATTTCCATGCATTTTTCTCAGTGTATGTAGCTTCCACTCTAGTAGGACTGATCTTAAATAAAGAATAAAGATAAAAAAATAAAAAAATTATAGAAGGAGGCCTTTTTTTTTAAATTTGAGCTAACATTTCCATGCATTTTTCTCAGTGTATGTAGCTTCCACTCTAGAGTTACATGTGCATATTCACGTATGTGTGTGTGTGTGTGTGTGTACCTCTCAAGTAGGTGTTTTGTTGAACGCGTGTATCTAACGCTCGGCTTGGTTTACTATTTTTAATTTATTGTGTGTCGGCCGTAGGGAAAAACTAATGTAAAGTCTCGGACCGAGCTGAGCTGAACTAAGTTGCGTTGTGCTGTGAATTGTGGTTGGGGTTAAAAAGTACGTATGTATATACTATATACGAGAATGTACGTGCGTATGTATTGTAATCGTATTTATGTACGAGGAGTTGCAAGTTGTTGGCGTTCGCGCATGTTTTAAATAAACATTGTTGCATTCAACACTCAAACATATCTGTTATGCGACTCTGTTGTTGTTCGCTGGGGTTAGGGTTAGGGTCGTTGTCGCCATTGTTGTTGTTATTGCCAATTACACTGTGACCAATCAAGTGTGCAACGATCCTAAGTCTATGGAATGCGGTAAGGTCAAGAGCCTTGTGTTAAGGATAGCTGTGAGGAATCAATTAGCAACAGCCCTAATTAGAAATTTGGTAATTCCATACTAATTAGGGATGAATTCGGTATTAAGGAATGTTTTTGGTTTCAATTCTGTCAGCATTGACTAACAAATTGGCTCATGATTTCATGGTGGAATGTTGTAGTGAAAACTGTGAGTGTTAACGACCCTTATTCAATCGTTTAGGAGTGAAGGAAAGGTCCATCTTCAATTTGTGTTTCATACATAAATAATATTAAAAGCAAAAGTTCCAAATTAAGTTAGTCCGTTGGATCAGTAAGATAAGTTGAAGCCGACTTTTCAAGATCCTTACGCCCATGAAAATTGACAGACTGACTGCATCTCCATCCATCAACGCCAGCTCGAGCAAAGCTTTGGACATTATAGTAGTAGAGGAAAAATACCCAAAGATGCTTTATTAGAATATTCCACAAAAAATCTGAACAAGCTTCTCTCTCAAGATTCTTGAGAGATTTAAGTCTCGACCCACTAGGATAGATAAGACTGTTATATTCAGCCCAAAAGTGCAATAGTATGATCTATAAGGGCCAATTTTGTCATATATAGCTTAGATAATCTGTTTTGGGACTTCTTTAAAAAAAACTGTCTGTATTGGAAGGACTAGAAAGCACTAAATAAAAATTGTTTATCAATTTGATTGCAATTTCATATTCCTTTCAAGCTTTAGTTAGTTTCTTTGGCCCTATAGTCAATGTGTTATGCAAATATTGTAACGGTCTAAGATTTCAGGACTCAAACGTTACACTCTTTCACCTAAGGAAGCATCAGGAAAGTCTTAAGCTTCGTCTGTTGATTTACAATGCTCCACAAATATCCATGTACAAGTATGTGGAATCTGACATATCAATAATTTACATCGATTTGTGTTTTGAATGATCTCTCAAATCGATTTCCACACACAGCATCCGTTTCGGCAGTGTAGATTTTCCACAAAACTAATGCAACAAACAAATTACTGGAGGC